TCTGTGCAGAGTCTGGAGTGGTATGCCCTCATATGTGTGGTGGGTTTTTCTCCAGGTACCTTATGTACGTGTCTGTATGTATTTTGAACTTCTTTCACACCGTACGTAGCCACATTTTCCAAACATCCCCAATGTAACAGGGCCCTCCTGATAACGGTATTCAGACTCTGTGAGGCTTTCCTTAATAAATAAAGGTCATGGCTATTATTGTTGTTGTTATTATTATTGTTGGACCTAAAACCCATCCCTAGAACCCGCACTGGCTGTTCCCAAGAATAGAAGTAGATCCAGCGAGGCCGTCGCAGAGCGATGAAGCATCATGGTCGAGAAACCCCCGCGACCGACACGGCGTGGAGATGCCCTCATCCAGCAGTGGACCGACAAAGGTTTGTACCCAATGTTGTGCACACACATTCAACTTTCTCTCCGTCACTGCATCATCATTATTACTTGTACCGCTTCTCATGTGGGCTTTCAAACAATAAACAAACGAAAGGCAACCTTCTGCCTTGAGCCATTCTTCAAGCAATCCATTCACAATCAGTCCCGGGTTAGCCTTCCCCAATTAGGGACAAGTCTCGACAGCCCCGAGAGAGGGGGGGCGGTTCAACTCCGCACTGCTGCCCCCTATTTCTTGCGACCCCATGATTCTGCAGATTAGTTGCCCCTAATTGATTCCGCGACAGCGCATTTTTCATATTTTAGCACTGCCTATCGGCCAAGCGCCATCAGTCAATTATAAATATGTAGACTATTTTTTATTGTAACAGCTAAGACTCACTGAGCTATGCAACTATTTTTTCAGAAGCGACCTGGCCACAAATAATCGCTCAACGAAGTGGCTTATCACGTGGAAATGTATATCAGCTAAACACTCTAAAACGTACGTTTCTAAATGTAGAGGCAAAAAGCAGAGGACACGTATAAAAATCCACGCGACCACGGAGAGAGGACATGCCAACTCCAACTATACAGGCGTCAGTGTCAGGATCGAACCCACGACCTCCTGTATACCTGGTGAAGTAGTTAACATCGCGATCTAACCCAAAACAAACTCTATTATGGAGGAGAGGATAAAATGAGGCGACTGCCCGCCGGTGCCCGAGTGAGCGCAGCGAATACACGAGCAGTGGATCAGGCGCATTACCGTGGGACCGGTTTTTTTCCCATAAAGAAAGTGGAATAAATTGCACCGTGAGCTTAGGGAATGAGGTCAGTTCAAATGAAACCTCGACTTTTATGAAACCACCCCCCCCCCCAAAAAAAGATAATTCTCACAACGCAGCGCCGTGGAACATAATAGGACCAGCAAAACCCAGCCTGGGCTTGTCCGCTCCCAGTGAAACAGACGACGAGACGCATTGAAATTAATTGGAAGACAAAATCCCCACTTAATATAAGAGAGCTTCTGCAGTTTCCCCGAACACGGCACAAGGAACGCACCAGTGAGTGAGTGAGTGAATGGGTGAGTAAATGTACAATTGAATTAAATAGTTAAGGTATGAGTGAATGAATAAGTGATTGAGCGAATGGACGAGTGAGTGAATACATAAGCAAATTAATGAGGTAATGAATAAGTCAGTGAATACATCTACGAATGAGTGAGAGGGTAAGGGAATGGATGGATGGAAGATTGGATGAGGACTTGCATGAGTAGATGGTTAGGTAAATGAGTGAATGAATACATGGTTAATACCAGATTGTGGTGGTGATACACGCTTTGTGACCAAGTTGACTCAAGAGTTGGGGGTTGACAGACCACGCAGAGATGGAGTTGTCACGTGTGAGAAACATCCACCTACATTTCAGTTGAGTGCCTGTATGAGGCAGTACAGGAAGTATCTGATCTATGAATAGTCTCATCTTGCATGCGTGGATGTTTAAGTACTACGCTCTATTTATTTCAGCAAGTAAAGCCCACTGAGCTGTATAGTTCTTTTTCATAAGCAACCAGGCCATAAATGATAGCGCAACGAAGTGGCTTATCACGTGAAAATGTATTGCGGCCAAATACAGCACGCGTCAGGGTCGGGATCGAACTCACGACCTCCTTGAATACCAGGCGAGGGAGTTAACATCTCGTGGAAATGTATAGCAACATTAGATGTCCTCCCACGTGCAACATTCCCGGACAGAAACCCCTCCTGTGCGAGGCTATCATCGGTGAAACAAATGGAAAAAAAGCAGAAGAGAAGGGTGCCTCTTTATCGCGTGACAGTCGCATAGCAGAGTGTGTGGCAAGTGCGTCCCGCTACCGACTGAAGGTTAGGAGGCCAACGAGCCCACTTGGGGGAGAGGCCCTGGGAGAGCATCTCTGGCGTGGGCCGTTCTCCAGCAATGTGCGGGGGTGGATCGCCCGCTGAGGTTTCCGATCGGATTCTCCGTCTCACGACGATGTGCCCATCGCACAAGTTGGAATAAGTGAATAATATATATCATATAAAGTAATCATGGTAATTGTAAACAACAACAAAAAGGCTCATGGCAAGTGGGACCAACAGCTGATTACAACGCAGCCGCCGGTTGTGGCCGTCCCAACGTAACGGCAACTCGTGCGGAACTATCGACAGAGTCGCAGATTTCCATCTCGGAAATCCGCGACGCACCGCGGATATTCCCCGCGTCCAGCACGAGCGCAGGAGAGATCGCTCCTCGCACGGGGTTGGGATCCCGGCACAAAAGACAAAGATCCCCCGTGTAGCCTTAGTCAGACTGTTGGGGAAAGTGTTGTCCGCGAGCGAACATCTATTAAAGCCGGCTCGGCACACGAGCGGGTGCGTGGCCAACACCACGCCCGGCCGCCTTTGTCTCCCTTCATTGCTGACGTTTACATATTCCACCAGGTGTTCACTTCAAGCTGAGTCAACCTAGGGGAGGCCCCAAGACCGGTTCAGATATATTCATCGGCGATGTTGGTCGTGAGCGGGGAATCGAACTCGGTTCGCCGAAGGCGTAGCGCAGCTCCCCACTAATCACTCCACGACCACTCCCGGCACACACAAACACGCGCGTCTCTGCGTGACACATGTCATCATCGTCATCATCATCATCGTCGTGTATATTATTATCATTATGAGGGCGTGGATCGTTTGGCACCAGCTGATAGAGATGCGTGTCGATGCAATGAAACCCTTCCGCGTGACGGCGCTCGGCACGCGAGACGACGTTTCGTGACTTAGCCGCCTCGGTTGCTAAAGGAGGTGGGGAGGGGCGCGGGGGGAAGGGGGGGGGGCGCAGTTGGGGGATGGGGCAGAAGTAGGTTGCCTTTTGGATGGGGAGTGGGAGGGGAGGGAAGGGGAGGTGGGTGGGAGTGGAGGTGGATGGGTGGTAGGGAAGGGAAGGGGACGCGAGTGGGTGGAGGGAGGGGAGGTGGGTGGGTGGGTGGTAGTGAAGGGAAGGGGACGCGAGTGGGTGGGAGGGAGGGGAGGTGGGTGGGTGGGTGGTAGGGAAGGGAAGGGGACGCGAGTGGGCACACGATATCCTCGGCACGGATAGGGGCGACTGCCTTCCTCCGGGCGATGTGCCATTCCAGGCTTTTTGCGAAGCGCCGCTCGAAAGTAATTGCACGTGATCCCGCGACGCTTCAGCTGCTGCTGCTGGAGACTCGGGTGTCGCAGCGCGTTACATCGTGAAGCCCATTAAAGCTCGCTCGCTCGCTCGCTCTCTGCCCGCTCGGCGGAGATAACTCCACGAGACATCTCACTCGGGCAGGCGGTTGCGGCGGCGTCTTGCGGCGGTGCGCGCTGTGAGCTACCGCGCACCCCAACCCCACTCATGCCGACCAAAGAGACCCGACCACCACAGCCGAGCACCGCTTCACGGTGCAATCGCAGTTGGTCAAATATGCAATGTGATGTCGCGCGAGACTGCTTCACCCGGGCTTTGTTAATGCTTTGCGGCGTGCATTGCCCTTGTGCTGTCCGCCTTTTTGCCGTTCTTTGCTCGGCGGCACCGGTGACTCTGTCTGGTGTACGTCGATCATTTGCAAGGACGATGCATATACGTCGTCAGAACCGCTTCTTGTTGTTGTGTTCAGTTTGTTGTTTTTTCTCCCGCACCTCCAATTATCACAGTTGGCTACGTACGGTGCGAAAGAAGTTCAACATACAATACGTACATCCAAGTATATTTGTTTGCACGCACACACACAAAACTCAAATCCCCCGCATAGCCTTAGCAGACTGTCGGGGCAAGTGCTGTTAGCGAGCAGCACCTATGAAGGCCCGCACGGTACACGAGCGGGTCGTTGGCCACCACCACGCCCGGCCGCCTTTGTCTCCCCAGTGGACGATGTTTACACATCGTACCAGCTACTCATTTGAGGCTGAGTCGACTCACTCGCACACACACACACACGCGCACACACACGCATACGCACACACACAACAACAACCGCCATTCGCCACTAAGTGGCGGTGACGTCACCACGACGCTTGTGCCAGACCATGTGCACCTTGAGGCCACGTGAAGTGTCGAACGCCCGCTAGCAGGAGGTCACGGGGCAGACCCAGGTGCCACGGGTCGACTGACTGAGATAACCGAGATGACTGGCTGATGCACCACCTGTGCCCCCTACTGTGCCAACTTGCTGTGCTTTAGCCACCCGGCGCTCCGCACGCACACACATTCGCACACAAAGATAAAGATAAAGACCCCCCATATAGCCTTAACAGACTGTAGGGGCAAGTGCTGTTAGCGAGCACCTATGAAGGCCGGAACGGTACACGAGGGGGTGGGTGGCCAGCACCACGCCCGACTGCCTTTGTCTCCCTAGTGGCAATGTTTACACACCTCACCAGGTACTCATTCGAGGCTGAGTCGACCTAGGGGAGGCCCGGGACCGGTTCAGATAATCGTCACTGGTGTTGGCCGTGAACGGGAATCGAACTCGGGTCGCAGGGTTCATGGCGCAGCGTGCTAACCGTTACACTATCGCTCCCCACATTCGCACACACACACGCACGCACACACACACGCACTCTCGGCCCCCGGGGCGTTACCTGACTTGCTCGGGCTCCATCCCCACCAGGAGCTGCCCGTCGACGGCGAGCAGCTCGTCCCACACCCTCACCGCGCCGCCCTTGCCCGCGGCCCCGCGCGGCCGCACGGACGTCACCCACACCTGGCCCACGCTGCGCCGCAGGGCGGGGGCCCCGCGGCCGATGCCCTCCGCCTGGCACGGCGGCTTGCAGAGGAGCAGCTCCGCTGGGGAGGACCCACCGGCGGCGGACAGACACACGGATGCGCGTTCGTTCGCACGTGGGTTTTCGGTTTTTTTTTGCCACGAGTAAAGTGTGGTTCGTGCAGACTTCATTTCTCTCTGCACAAAAAGTGGCTATTTTGGTGTTTGGACATATTAACACATGCTGTTATATTGACAGAAAGGGTTCAACCTATGTATTTAGTTTTCATGCTTTGATACTGGCAATAAAAGGTCCCGTGAGATAGCTGCTCACTCAACCCGAGCTATAAATACTCTGATATGTGCATTGTCTTTGTACTGTCCGGCTTTTGGCGTTCTTTTGCCTGACGCTGGTGAGACAAGGCCATGAAAAAGGATGTCTCTGGTGTAGGCCAATCAGTTTAAAAGAGAACGCATCATTTTATCAGAGCATGTTTGTTTGCACGTTTTGCCATAGGTACGCGCGGTTCACGCAGACTTGGTTCCTTGCAAAAGGTTTCTATTTGGTGTTTGAACATCTGAACACATTCTGTGTCATTGCCGAAAGGGTTAAAATCCTATTCTTACTCTTCACACATACAGAACCTATTGTCAGAAACGCCAATCCAAATTGAAGCTATAATGTTCTAAGCTCTGTTCGTCTCTACAGCTGTCTGTAACGGCGAAGGAAGAGGGGTGTAGAAGGGGAACGATAGCGCTTGTAAAGATGATCCAATATGAATTACATTTTGTAATTACATTGCGTTGCGATTAGGGGCCACAGACCGTATGCCTGCACAATAAGTATAGATTCGGTGAAAAGAGAATTGGAGGCTGCTTGAACCGATGGGTGTTTAGAGTAATGGTCACGGGTAGGTCTAGTGTCAAGGGTAGAGTTAGTGTCAAGGGTAGGGCTAGCGTCAAGGGTAGGGCTAGCGTCAAGGGTAGAGTTAGTGTCAAGGGTAGGGCTAGCGTCAAGTGTTTGGTTAAGCATCAGGGATAGGGTTCGTGGGGCGAGCTCTCTCTGGCAACGTTGGTGCAATCCACGTTCCTGGGGGCTCAGCTCCGGCCAGCACGCGCGTAAACCACCGGCCCCCTCACCCCCCTCACCCCCCTCACCTGCCTCACCCCCCTCACCTGCCTCACCCCCCTCACCACCCTCACCTGCCTCACCTGTCTCACCCCCTCCCCCCCCGTCACCTGCCTCACCTGCCAGCGGCGTGGTCATCGCCAGGGCTCTGGCCGGGGCCGCGGGGCACCGCAGGTAGCAGGGTACGCGGCCCAACTCGATGCCCAGCTCCTCGGGCTCCGTCGCTTCCCGGTCCACGGCGCCGCCGGGCGCGGGCGACGCCGACGACGACGCCGACGACGACGACGGAGCCATCGACGACGAAGAGGAAGAGGAGGTGGAGCAGGAGGAGGAGGAAGAGGCTGGGCACCCGTCGCTGCGCCCCGAATTTGCCAGCGTCACCGTCACCACCTCGTAGCGGAAGCGACCGCCCCGCGCCCGGCCGGGTCCCCCCGTGCGGTCGGGGGCCGACGCCGTTCGGCGGAGGAGCAGCAGCAGGCCGCCGGGGTCAGCGGTGGGGTCGCGCGGATCGTCCGAGTCGCTGGGGTCGGCGTCGAGCGCCGGGGTGCCGCGGTGGACGTTGCGGTCCCGTCTCCCGGCATCGTCGCCGGCGAATCTGCTGTGAGCGGCGTGAACAAAAAAGTGACGAACGCGATCGTTGTTGTTTTTTATTCCTGCTGCTGCTGCTGTTGTTGTGATCTATGGGACCTTTTTTGACGGTATAAAAAAATATTTGAAAAAAAAAATAAGAACACGTTTATTATAATTTTTATTATTCTATTATTTCTATATTTTTCAATTATTTTATTTATTTTTTACCTACGTGACTTTACCGAAAATCTAAGAGTATGAATCCTTGCAGTCACGAAAGCTTCAAATCTAGAATTAGGTTTTTCCCTTTCAGGCAATGAAAAGAGGTGTTAGGATGTTCGAATACCTTTCGGCAAGGCCTTCAAGTCTGCGTTAACCACACGTACTTGTGGAAAAAACATGCAAACAAACATGCTCTGATGATAACATGCGCGTCGTCTCTGAAACTGATTGGGCCCTACACCATCAGCAGTGTTCGACCACAGAACGCCAAAAGGCGAACGACACGAAGATAATGCAAGCAGCATAATCCTTTCAGCTCGGGTCGAGCAGTTATATCGTATTGTTGTTATTGTTCGTATCTCCTGATTAGGACGCACGTGCGTTGTTATGCCCGTCAGCCCAGGAACGCCGAACTGAACCTCGACTTTTCGATTTAAAGCTTTTGTGACTGCAGGGATTTATCTTCTTGGTTCTTTCGGTAAAGTCACGTAGAAGGGAAATAATAAAATAATAAAAATAAAATATAAAAAAATAATGCTCACGACGTTTCGGCCACAACGCAAGCAGAGCAGCCGTCCTCAGGTGAAGACCAGGTCTGTCAGACGCTGTCTCCCCGACAGACCTGGTCTTCACCTGAGGACGGCTGCTTGCGTTGTGGCCGAAACGTCGTGAGAATAATTTTTATTATTTTATTACTTCCCTTCTACGTGACTTTACCGAAAGAACCAAGAAGATGAACCTCGACTCTTTTTTTCAGAAGGGTCCTGTCACGATCTTGCAGCAGGGGGCGATGCTACTGATGCTGCTGTGTGCGTGTGTGTAATCCCGTTGTGTGACATTTGCTGATTATTTATAGCATTCATCGTCGTCAGGAGTCATGTTGCTATCCACGATTGGATGGAGGCCTTCCCCATGCCATCACGATCTTTCACCATCCGATTAGCACGGTTGGCTATATACGGTGCAAAAGAAGTTCAACATACATACATACAAAGACAAAGATCAAAGATCCCCCGTATAGCCTTAACAGACTGTAGGGGCAAGTGCTGTTAGCGAGCACCTATGAAAGCCAGAACAGTACACGAGGGGGTGGGTGGCCAGCACCACGCCCGACCGCCTTTGTCTCCCTAGTCGCGATGTTTGCACATCGCACCAGGTACTCATTTAAGGCTGAGTCGGACTAGGGGAGGCCCGGGACCGGTTCAAATAATCGTCACTGGTATTGGCACCTCCCATGAGCATGGTTGGCTACGTACGGTGCGAAAGATGTTCAACGAACATACATCCGCATATCCTGCGGTGTAACAATCCACGCAGTGTCCACGCCGGTCTCAAAACCACTCCGCCAAGGTGAAGTTCCTCTCTTTACGCGTTCCATTGCCCCTGGCTGACACGCCGTTGTTATTCTTGACCCATCGGCCATCGTCAACTTCGCGCAAGGAAGATGACCGATAGATAAATACATTTTAAAAACAGCTCAAATGAGGACGTGTCCTGAAAAATCAAAAAGCCGCTCGATAACTCACGACATCTCATCGTGGTGAAAGCGTGCTTGCGTTGAGAATAGGCGGATTAAAGGTACGGAATCTTTTCATTGTGCTGACATCTGTGTGGAGATGACGCGATAACAACACGATGGTAGCGTGTTGTAATGTCCATGTGTTATCTTCATACAGATAGATATATTTATAATGTGTGTGAGGCTTAGAATGTTTTCCAGGACACCTTTAGAATTATATATATATTCTAGATTTGAAGCTTTCGTGACTGCAAGGATTCATGCTCTTAGTTTTTTTCGGTAAAGTCACGTAGGTAAAAAAATGAAATAAAAATTAAAATAAAATAATAAAAATCACAGATCGTGGACCGTGAGTTGATCGGTCCACGTTCTGTGATTTTTATTATTTTATTTTTTATTAATTTTAATTATTTTTTTTTATATATCTTTATCTCCGTTAAGATGGCTTCTCTTTGTTGTTGTTCTTGTAATTTTGTCTGCTGCGGACACAAACGAAACCCACCACCATCCCTGCGCTGACGAAAGGCTCAGTTCGTCGGGATGAGGCTCCTCTGGGCACCGCCGTGGTATTTAAAACTTTGTTTTTTAAAACTTTGTTTTAAATTCTCGGATATTGAAGCGAAGGTGGACCCCCTATAGCGTGCGCGTGTTTTTGTCTGAATCTCGCTGTCAATCGGGTTGCTGCGTAACGAAAGGCACGTGGTTACGCCAAAAGATAACCCGCATCTCAAACTCGTCTGAAATCATGCCGCTGCCATCCGTGACATTTTCCTTGACGAACAAGGGAATTATTTTAGTTTAGGGGCCGTCCATTAATGACGTCACGCACCTGGGGGGGGAGGGTTGAAAAATATGACGTCACGTCAAAATGCGCAACTTTAAATAAATATAGACAACACGTTCTACTTCAATAAATATACTTTTTAATAAATGTTTTCTCCTACAATACCAAAGTGCAGCAGCGCCACATTAAATACGCACTACAATGACAATAGTTTAAAGCGATTTGAAGCATGTTTTATTTTGGGGGGGGGGGGGCAGAGCGTTGTGACGTCATATTTGAGGGGGGGTCTGACTTTTCGTGACGCCGTGTGACGAGGGGGGGGGGGTCAAAAATCGTCCAAAATCGCATGACGTCATTTATGGACGGCCCCTTACAGTAAATGCCGGGTGGGAGGAAGGGGGCGGTAGCGGAGGGGGCAAATCCCGTATGGGGTACAGGATATTAAAAGCGAGCGTACGACAACAGTGCGACTGCTTTCAGCGAAGTCATCCACAACACTCGCACCCACCCTCCTTTGATACTAACGCCCCGTTATTTGCACAGTTGGCATGCAAAAAAAAACCCAACCTCTAATGCTACACAATCAGCTCTTGGGCAAAAGAATTACGTAAAACTAGCACAACCTTTTACGAACGAATCATAGTCCCATCTTCTGCCGGATAATGAGACGCGCACTTTCTTCCACCGTTTGTAGATTGAAGCAAAAGTTGGGGGTGGGGTGGGGGTGCGCTTTCGTGTGCGTCTTACTTTCCGCGGCCCACAAACGTTTGGGGTGCGTGTTACTTTCCGCAGCGTCTTACGATAGGGGACAAAACAGTAGGAGGCCCAGACTTTATCCGAGTTGACAGCAGCAGAGCTAATAATAGGGGTTTTCCACAATACTTGTGGTCAAAATGAAAACAAAAACACACTCTGATGATATATGCATTGTCTTTGAAACTGATTGGTCCACACCAGAGACGGCTTTCTTTTGAGCCTCGTCTCAATTGGTGCTAGACCAGAGGACGCAAGCGCTCCCAAGATTGAGCTTATGAGTTTGGCTCTCGGCCCGTGGTATTCATCTCCGTCATCATGGCAATCGTCTCCACTCTATTGCCATGATGATCGTTACCATCACCATCATTACCACCACCACCACCGTGATTATCTCAATCATTATCTCCATTGTCATCATGATCACGATAATATCTCCACAATTATGATGACCATCACCATTATTACCACCATGATCGTCTCAATCATCAACCACAAAAATCATGATCAGAATTTTCATGATGATCACGAGCACGTCATCATCACCACCACCGATATTTTCACGATCACGACCACTTTCGGGTTGATGAAAAAAATCCGCCCTATCTGACGAGGCTGCATCATCAACAATCATCATTTAATTCAGAGTTCTTCATTTTAAATGGACGGTACTTTCCCCTCTCATGCGACCGTGGAATTCCCAGCAAGATTTCCAACGGAGATGAGAGAAGTCGATACCCATGCGCCAGCATCAGTGTCTGCACAACACTGAGTGACGGACTCTTTTCATGAGCGCGCGCACACGCGCATATATATAGTGTCATCCGTCAGCGCAGGTATCAATTCACGAGACAAAAGTAGTGCGGTGGAGAGATGGGGGTCCTCCCGCGCGTGTAAACAAATACGCACGGCTATTTTTAAACGGACCTCTTTTCCAATTTTGGCATTGCCACCTCCCCCGCCCCCCCAAGCCTCAAAGAGAGACCGCTCCCTGCTGCCGATCGTCTCAACGTCTGAGCTGCCCACAAATAAAAACCGACTTCTCCCCCCCCCCCCAACCACGGCTTGAATCGCTCGCTCGCGGCAACGCCACCCAAACGACCCCATGCGAACGACCCCAATGCCCACGGACGGTCAACCGGCAAACTGAAATGGCCCAGCGACTGCTATCCCGCTGGTTGATGGCGATGTTTACCACACACCTGCGACCAGGTGGTCATTTGAGGCCGAGTCAACCTAGGGGAGGCCCGAGACCGGTTCGGATCATTGTCACCGGTGTTGGCCGTGTGCGGATATCGAACCGAGGACACCGGGTTCGTAGCGCAGCAGTGCGCTAATCGCCACACTACCGCTCTCCACGCGGGCGTGACCACCACCAGCACAGCTAACTCCACGCACACACCACCACAACACCACAACACAACACCGAGCCACCACCACCACCACAACACCACATTCGCGCCACTCCCGCTCCCCCTAAGTCACACACCCCCACCGCCTACATCTTGTTACCACCATCAACACACAGCGAGTCACACGACCACCACCACCACCGATTCCCATCAACGCCGACTCAAGTGACTGTGCAACTTCCCTCACTCCACCGTGACTCACGCCGCCACGCGGCTCACACCCACGTGTCGACGACTCGCAGCACGTGCGAGACCACGTGCCCACACACTGCGCCGCCCTATTAGCGTCAACGCGTCACACGCCCGGTGCGTTAAGATGTCCCCTCTTTTTTGTTAGTTTGTTTTACCAATCAACTAAATAACTGAGCTCCAAGATTCCCATTGTCAGGAGGGTCCTGTCTGGGAAGTCGGGCCGGCTTGCAGTCATCAAGCTCTGAGTGCTGTATGGTCACGTTGGAGATACTCAAGGGGCTATGTGTGTGTGTGGGGGGGGGGGCTATACCCCCCTAAATTAACATCAGTGCCCCCCTCCCCATCCAGAGGTAGTTCCTCGGGGTAGCGACTGGTGGAGGGGGAGTTGGGGGGGGGGGGCTCAACTTTAAGTTCACAAGGACATCGCTTCCTTCCCTTTGCCAGATCCTTCAGCGGTTGATTCGATCGTCTATGACCAAACCGGCCTGAACGCATTCGGCCTGGGAAGCTAAGCAGGTTGAGCCTGGTTAGAACCACGGATGGTAGAAATTCCTGGGAATGTCGCAGGCGCCGTTGTGTGCTCGTGCAACGGGGTGGCCAGGAGATGGCAGTGCAGCGACGGATTGCGCAACGCGTCTGTGTGAGCCTTCGAGTAATTCCCCTCGATCGGCTTTGTCGGAGAGTTGTGTGGAGAGTCAGGTGCACGTGTCTGAATGTACGTTGGACTTCTTTCGCACCGTACGTAATCAACCGTGCTAACGGGAGGTGCGGGGGAAGCACAACAAACGAAACACAACAACAACGACGAAAAGGAGAAAGAGGAGGAATTCTAAAGAGATGATGATTTACTCTTGTGCGGAGAGGCGACCTCACCTGGAGGCTTCGTGCAGCTCCGAGTCGCTGCCGCTGAGAGGTCTCCCGGCGAGACGCGACGCGAACAGCCGCTTGAGCCCCGAGAGGAGAGGCCGCGGGGAGAGGGACGAGGGAGGGCCGGGATCCCGGCTCCCTGCTCGGCCCACCCAAGACATGGCTACTCCTGGGCGCCCCGACGGGGAACAGAGGACGGGGAACAGAGGACGGGGGCGAGGGGGGGGGGGTGCCACTCCTGGGCTTAGAGGAAGCAGCTGGGGGATGGAAGCAGTTGACTTGCTCCGGGGTCGTGGAGCTGGATCGGAGTTTTTGTTGACGTTTCTTCTTCGAGGCTTGCGAGGATTCCTCGAGGGTCAGAGACCTCTCAGGATGGAGTATCTCATTGCTGTTGTTCGTCGATGGCGGCGGTAGGTGGGTGTGCTTGCGAGGTTGAAATCCTTGTTTTTACCGTGGTCCATGACCTGCCTGGCTGGCTTTGTCCTGCTCGAGTCTATGGGGGTTCCCTCCAAGGTGATCGTCTCCTGTGGAGTCGACGGAGTTCTGCCGTGGTTGCCTTTCGAATGTCGTCTCGTGCCCGCCGTCCGTTCGTTGCCCAACCGCGCGTCGAACTATCACGCAAGGGCTGTTTTGACTTCTGCCGGTCAATAAATAAATAGTCGCGTGCATTTCTCAACGATATTTAACAATGAGGAGGAGGAGGAGGAGAAGAAGAAGAAGAAAAAAATGTGCTTAAAACAAAAACAACAAAAAAATACGGCCGCTATTTCCTGCTGATAGTCCTGCACGCGCCGCTGGTCCCCACAGCCTCGAGCGCGTGGGTACATTGCGAGCAACCCCCCCACCCCCCCACCCCCCCACCCCCCACCCCCCCCCCCCCCATGCATCACTTCTTGAGATGTTTGTTGACGCAGCGTCGGCGGGTGGTGCACAAAGCACGCACAACAACAACACAAACGCTCAACACGTCCGTCAATAACAGCGTGGCCCTAAAAAGAAGGTAAAAAAAAAACAGGCCACGTTTCGGGGAATTCCTCTTATTCATAAAATAAAAAAATATATACACCTTAATTTGTTCGTCGAAGAAGAACAACTGTAGTTGATCCTATGTCTGAATGCAATGCGCTATTAATTTAATTAACTTACATCAATACATTTATTTACTTAAATGGATAGCATGAAAGAGATCACAATCCCAAAACTCACCAACCTCTCACCCACCAACTGAGTCCATGGCTTGACCGCGTCTGTGTGCGCGACAGTCTGATACCGCATACCCCTACAGGATAGCCTACACGGCACATACGTCGCATGCTATGCTGTTCACGCACACGCACGCACGCACGCGCGCGCTATACGCGCTGGCCTGGCTATTCCACGTTGCGATGACCGTGTGTGTGCCCGAGTGTCCGGGGCTGTAGTGGAGAGAGAGAGGAGGGAGCGGTGGAGCGTTGGAGCGTTTAGGGGGAGCGGGGTAGAGGGGGAGGAGAGCAAAGGGGGGGGGGGGATTTGTGTGCGTGACGCTGCGCTCACCGAAACGGGAAAGGCCACGCGGTCATTCGCTAGGGACGGGTGCGCGCGCGCGTGAGTGAGTGGTGAGCGGTGGCGCAGTGGTTAGCGCGCTGCGCTACGAACGTGGCGACACGATGTTCAATGCTTTCCCGCTCACGACCGACACATGTCCTGGGACTCCATTTGGTAGACCCAGCATTAAATTAGCACCTGGTGTGGTGTTCCAACGTCAAAACTGGGGAGACAAAGGCGGCCGGGCGTAGTACTGGCCACGCTATCCCCTCGTGCGCCGTGCGGGCTTTCATAGGTGCTTGCTAACAACACTTGCCCCAACAGTTCGTCGGAAGCTATACAGGGGATATTTGTCTTTGGGGAACGGTGGTGCAGTGGTTAGCGCACTGCGCTACGAACCCGACCACCCGAGTTTGATTTGCGACCGTTCACGGCCAAATGTCGGTGACGAACATTTGGACCAGTTCTGGGCCTCCCCTAGGTCGACTCGGCGTTAAACGAGTAAAAGGTTGCGATGTCTAAACAAGCAATCATCACCAGGCGCGGTAGTCACGCGAAGCGAAGTCTTTTTTCGTTTTCCGATATTAAACTATGATTAAGCTAATCAACTACTATTTTGCAAAACAATTTGTTACCATATAAGGCCCACTAAGTTATATAGCTCTTGTTCAGAAGCGACCTGGCCACAGATGATAGCTCAACAAAGTGGCTTATCGCGTCGAATATATATAACAGACAAATAAACTTAACGCATGTTTTTCTAAACGTGGAGGAGAAAACCCAGAGGACCCCGATAACAATCTACGCGACCGCGGGGAGAGAGACATGCACACTCCGAATATACAGCAGGCATCATCAGGGTCACGTAGGTAAAACAATTAAAATAAATTAAATCACGACGTTTCGGGCGCAACACAACACGTCGTCATTTAATTTATTTATTTTTACCTACGTGACTTTACCGAAAAAAACAAAGAGGATGAATCATTGCAGTCACGAAAACTTCAAATCTAGAATCGTCAGGGTCGGGATCGAACTCACGACCTCCTGTACATCAGGCGAGGTAGTTAACATCTCACTACCTTAGCGTCCAAAGCAGAGTTACACTCTCCACGAGTCTCAGTGTCACGGGAAGCTGATGAATACAAACGCACCTCTTTGGAAATACCCATCCCCTTCGTGCCGACCAACTTTGTTTCATTCATTGCTTATTTTACAACCACTGGTGGCATGTTTTGATGTTCATTTATTGATTGGGTTCCTGGCTATTGCTGGCGGTTGGGTGATCAAATCTTCTCTGACGCTCACGCCCGGAGTATGCATGCGAGATTGCTCTGTCCACACGCACAGGTCGGTATGCCCTGATATTAAAATATTCACCCCATGTGTACACTGTGGGCTGCAGGATGGAAACATGTCATGTCCCTACTCTAAACTTAATGTTACTTTACACGCGACGATCACGAAACGTATAATCAGAGAGTCAATTCGACGATAGTGGAATTACAGTGGTTACATCTTTTTTGTTTCTTTCAGCGGAGTGGAATTTCAGCTGGAGCTGTCCGGGGCTTAGGTGCGGAAAAAAGCAATTTTCGTCCCCTCGTAGTTGGGGCAGTGATGGAGTTGGGTGTCTATGTGGGGGTCTGTGGGGGGGCTGGGGGGTTGTGGGGGCGGGGAGTATTCCATGAGGAATGAAGCCCCCTGGGTGCGATCATCACCTAAACTGTACCTGAAGAAACGCAAAATGCCACGCGGTCATTCGCTAGGGATGCGTGCGAGTGAGTGGTGGCGCAGCAGTTAGCGCGCTACGCTACGAACCCGGCGACACAAGTTCGATTCCTTCCCGCTCACGATCGACGCCAGTGACGGCGATTATCTGAGCCGGTCCTGGGACTGCACTCAGTCCACTCAGCACCAAATTAGTACAGTACCTGGTGCGGTGTTCCAACATCAAAACTGGGGGAGACAAAGGCGGCCGGGCTGAGATCATCAACCACGCTGTGCCTGAGGTTCTGTTTTCAATCACGTGCCGTCAAGACTGGGAAACTGATGGCCTTAATCTAAGTTGTCTTGTGGTTGTTGTTGTTGTTGTTTGACTGGCATCCCACTGGGATTTTTGCACACAGCGTTGGTGTACGGTGCTTTTTCTGTAATATTTTTCAGTCTTTTCTTGGATTTTCTGTTTGCACAAAGTCACATAATCACTTTAAGATGTTTTCTTGTTCATGTTTTTGTTTTTTGTTTGTTGTGGTTGCACCCGATTCAAGAGCCGAATGGCTCACAGGGCTACACCTAATGAATGCAACTGAAACTAAAACGAACTCAGACTCTGAGCGTTGGCGGCTCGGAGGGACAGAGAGGCTCCTTGTAGTGTACAGTCACGTCATGAACTGCGTGCCCCCCCCCCCCTCATACCCCCCCACCCCCCGACTTTCTCTCCCTCGGGTCACCGCTTATGTAACTAAGTTGTGCGCTTATTTATTTATTTACATACCTTACGGCAAATATTTTCTCGGCAATGCTGTTCGTTTTGCTTGAGAGCTCCCCCCCCCCCGAAGGTTGGGGTGACGTGTGCTCAATTACGCGTTTGTGAAAGGGCTGGATTGTCCTGGTGCCGCTGCTGCTGCTGTTGCTGCTGTTGTTGCTGCTGTTGTTGCTGCTGTTTGAAAATTGCCCGTTTCCTGAGAGGTGTGGAGCGAGGGCTGGGCAGCGTCATCATCCATCTCGCTGCGTAACGGTCCCAAGGACGAGTTCATTCGTGTCGACGGATCGACGATTTGGTTGCTTCCCCCTCCCCCCTCCCCCCATCTACTTTTCTTCCAGCTCGTGACGTGTGCTTATGCGCACTGATGACTCGGGCATACGCGAAATTAATCGGGGGATGGTTTTTTTTCGACGGAAATGTGTTTAATGACGCCAGCCACCAGAGGCCGCTACATTCACCAATACATAAATACACGAAGCTCTCTCACGCTCCACGCGCGTTCGGTTCGTGCGGTTTCGCGTGATTATTTCTCTATTGCTACCCAAAATTCGCTATATGCGGTTCAAATTCGCTCATATGCGGCTATGCGATCCGACGTGGAACAACATTGTGTGTGTACTGTGTGTACTGTGTGTACGTACTGTGTGTGTGTGTACTGTGTGTGTGTACTGTGTGTATGTACTGTGTGTACGTACTGTGTGTGTACTGTGTGTACTGTGTGTGTGTGTACTGTGTGTGTGTACTGTGTGTATGTGTGCTGTGTGTCCTGTGCGTGTGTACCGTGTGTACTGTTTGTGTACTGTGTGTACCGTGTGTGTACTGTGTGTACCGTGTGTACTGTGTACCTTGTGTACTGTGTGTCCTGTGCGTGTGTACCGTGTGTACCGTGTGTATTGTGTGTGTGTACCGTGTGTACTGTGTGTACTGTGTGTACTGTGTGTGTGTACTGTGTGTACTATGTGTCCTGTGCGTGTGTACCGTGTGTACCGTGTGTATTGTGTGTGTGTACCGTGTGTACTGTGTGTACCGTGTGTACTGTGTGTACTGTGTGTACTGTGTGGGTGTACTGTGTGTACTATGTGTCCTGTGTGTGTGTACCGTGTGTACTGTGTGTCCCGTGCGTGTGTACCGTGTGTACTGTGTGTGTACTGTGTGTATGTGTACTGTGTGTACCGTGTGTACTGTGTGTACTGTGTGTGTACTGTGTGTACCGTGTGTACTGTGTGTACTGTGTGTCCTGTGTGTGTACCGTGTGTACTGTGTGTACTGCGTGTCCTGTGTGTGTACCGTGTGTACTGTGTGTACTGTGTGTGTGTCATGTGTGTACTGTGTGTGTACTGTGTGTGCTGTGTGTGTACTGTGTGTGTACTGTGTGTGTGTACTGTGTGTGCGTACTGTGTGTACTGTGTGTGCTGTGTGTGTACTGTGTGTGTACTGTGTGTGTGTGTACGGTGTGCGTGTACTGTGTGTACTGTGTGTGTGTACTGTGTGTGCTGTGTGTGTACTGTGTGTACTGTGTGTGTACCGCGTGTCTGCTGTGTGCGCTACTCGGCAGGCAGCTGTCTCCTCATGCGGTTTCGCTTTGTGCGCCCCTTTTTTGGAACGCATCTACTACTTCTACTCCTACTATCGCATGAAGCGAGGCTGCACCTGTAGTGAACACAACACGATGTCGCGACGAATCACTTCGTACGCAGGTGCTGAGTGGATTTTAAGTTGCATCGCAGGATCCGTGAAAGGTGGCGGTGGCCAGGGAAGGAGGAGAGACTTCGTCCAGCAGTGGATTGACCGCGGTTGATGATGAGGATAAC